GCAGTGAGTTCATGACTAAGTTGATGATGTCATGTCCAGGAAACACAGTTTTCACTAATTCCTCCTCAACCTCTGTCTCTTATGATCTCTCTGCCCCCTCTTTCATGGTATTCCATGAGCTTTTGGGGTGGGTGAGTCAATATAGATATTCCATTTAGGATGTCCACAGTCATTTAATTTCTAATGTACAGTTATTTTTAAACAGGAAGATTCATATATATATACATATATATATGCATGCAATATATATATATATATATATATATCAGTACTGCTAAGAGCAAATAGAAGTGTGTGTGTGCGTGCGCACGCACATGTGCACATGTGTGCACATATGTTCAAACAACAAGCATAGAGAAGAGTTGTTTACAGCAGTGCAACAAATTGTTAATGTTGATTATCTCTAATCAACATTATAATTAGTATAATTAGTATAAGACCTAATTTATTTTTACATTATACCTGTCTATGGTTTAAAAGTTGAATATGATCACAAGGCATGATGGCTTGTGCCTGTAATTCCTGATACTCAGGAAGCTGACGTAGGAATATTGCAAATTCAAGAATACCTGGGAAACTTAGCAAGATCTTGCCTGGGTATACAATAAAAAGGTACGGGGTTATAGTTCCATGGTAAAGTGCTTGCCTGGGTTCAATCTCCAGAGCTGATGTCTCTTCTATGCTAAATATAATTATAGCCAAAAAGTTTGTGGAAGTATTATTTGGAGTATAACATCTAAGCAACTCTGATAAAAATCAGTCGATTATCATATAACTACTGCTGGAAGACTATTCACATGTTAAGAAAAGAATCCTGTATGAAAACTAGTAGGGCAATATCCAAGCCAGCCTCTGTTGGTTGAGTTACTGCTTTTATCTGTTGGAGACTCTGTATCTAGAAGCCAGTAGTGTTGTCCTTCACTGTGGCAAGTAGGGACTTCGAAGTTAAATTGGAGACTACAGTTTATTTAAAATATATCCGGTCCTGTGGTTTATCCTCTTGTCACCCTCTTTATTCACTCCTTTATGTGAACCCCTTCCTAAAGTTTTACTACTCAACCCTAGAGCCACACCTGCTCCTTTGGGGGAAGAGGAAGTGAGGCTATCTCTTAATATTGACCAATGATCTCTTTTTTAACAGGAACCTGGGGGGACAAAAGCAGTGTCAACAATGAATAGGCCGCCCGTCGCTACCAACTACAGATGACTTGCCATTTTATTTACAAAGGTAAGGAAATGTATTCTATATCCCTCTTCCTGACAGATGCTCTATACAGCACTTAGTTTTTCTGCTGTATCTGTATTTGCCTACCTAGTTCATGACATTCAATTTTGACCATATCAAATTCCAAACAAACATCAAACAAACAGGACACAGAAACTTTTGAATGTGTGTCTGTATGTGGAGGGACAAAGCATGCAGGGGAGGAAAATGCCATGAATTATGATGCATGGCTGACTTTTAATCACCTTAGAATTCTCCTTAATTTTAAACAAATACTCTACAGCAAAATATTAAAAAGGATGCTGACTTCATTTACAACCCTCTTTAGGTAGCTTACCAGTGCTTCTCAGACTATCTTCCCTCCTTTCTTTTATAGAAATAGGATGATTATAATGTTGTCATCTATGCTTATCTTGGCTTACACACTTGTAAGTACATATTGTACCCAGTGCAGAAACATAACAAGCCTAAGTAAGGGCAAAGTGTAACCCCACTATCCCAGTTTAATAGTCCTTTGTAGTTTGCTGCTGTGACCCTTAGTGTTGTCATCTTGGGAGGTCTGGTATCTCCAGGGAGACTGATCTTGGTTGAGTCTACTGAAGTGGGAAGACTGGCCACCGTGGGTGAGAGTTTTTGTGTTCCCCGAGCACTGGTTCTGGACTGTATAAAAGAGAGTGAGTAGAGAACAGGCAAGGAAACCATTGTTTTCTCTGCTTGCCAGAGACATAATGTGAGTAGCTGCTTTGGGTTCCTGGGCTTTGATTTCCCCAGTGATAAACTGAAATAAGACCGTTCTCTCTTAAGTGGCTTTGGTCATAGTGTTCTATCACAGCAACAGGGAGAGAAGACAATAACAACTTTGAACTCAGTTGACCCTTTAGGGGTGATGAAGGGGGGATATCAGTGAATATTGATCAGCGATTTCATTTCTAACACTACCCTGGGGCAGAAGAAGCACTGTCAACAGTGAATAGCTCACCCATCACTACCATGACCCTCCCTTATCTGTTTTGTGCTTCTCAGAAGAAATTTAAATGAATTGAGTAAACTGGCATAGTTTCCACCCCCTCTTCCCTACTGTCAAGTCAGGACTGATTCACAAAGTAAAGAAATATACTTTGAGACTACCTGCTCACTGCCCTTCATTCATGTCAATTAGTCCATTTCCCAGAGGGTTGTTTCTCAACTCCCTGCAGAGTGGCTGTTGAAGTGTTTCCATTTTCAAAGCCTAGGGTCTGAGAAGTGCAGCTGCTCACATGGCATGCTTCAAGGAGGTCCTTCTACTCTTTGCTCTAGGTTGCCTTTTTATCCTGAGCTGGTATTGCTAAGTCTTTCAAGCATTTTAATCTTCCTAGCATTTTATTCAAAACCCATCAAAGTACTATTCTAGGAAAAAAATTCAGTTCTTCTTTAAACAAATAAAGCAGACATTCTGTGAAACAGAATTAGACTCCCCGTTCTAATACAGACAGGTTGAATGGAGTCCCTCTGAGAATAAAAAGAGTAAGAGGGAGGTTGATTGTGTGAGCAATACACCTAGTGAGGTGAGTTCATCCAAGTCCATACCTTCATTCTCCTGAATGGCCTTAGTCATGTTGGACACCCGCCATCAGGGGTGAACTCAGTTATTTAGCTCAGGTGTAGAGACATGGCTGGCTAATTCTTTGATGCCACAAACACTGAACTTATTAAAATCCCAGGATTCAAAGGCTTGTAGGGAAGTCAGATCTGTCTCTCCCTGGGGTATTAAATGCCCTTCATGTAATTTAAGATCCTGAAGTATTTTTGGAGCCAATGGTAATTAGCAAAGAGTTCCAAACTGGACAGTGAGCAGAGAGTAAGAGACTTTGGAGCATTCAACCCTTGATGCTATGTCTTCATCAAACCTCTCCCTTCAAGGCTCAGGGATCTAAATGACAAAAAGAGGCAGAAAGATTGTAAGAGCCAAGAAGACAGCATCTTCCAGACTCAACAGGACTGGAACACATCTGAACTCACAGAGACTCTGAGAGCACACATGAGACCCCCATTGGTTCAAACCAGACAGAATCCACACTGAGAGAGGGAGTAGACACAGAGTCACACCCCTAATCAAGAAACTATTTGCAGTTGATTCCTGCTAGGAAAGTGAATATCAGTTTTCTCCAATGGAGTTTCACAGAGTATGTCAACCACACTCCAGAGCAGGTCCCAAGCCTAGGAGTAGTTGACCAACAAAAAGCTTACTTCATGTTTGTTTTGATATTCTTTTTTTAATTTGCTTGTTTTTTTTAATAATGTTGTTTTTTGTCCTTTTCTTTGAGAGGGATAGACATGAAGTGAGTAGGGAGGTAAGAAAGATTTGGGAAGAGTTAGGGGAGGGGAAAGAATATGACCAAAATATAATATATGAAAATTTTTTAATAATTTAGGAAAGATCCTGAAGTATTGTGGCTCCCTGATGATGTAGGTACCCTTAATTATCACAGAAGTAACTGGCTCTAATTTTTTAATGGATTTGAAGTCAAATATGAACGCCTATTAAAAAGTGATTAAAATACATGTTTAAATATCTAATGTCTATCAGTTAGAAAAATGTTTTATCTTAAATGCATTAGAAAAAACTCACAGGTAATAGTTTTGCATATGTCAAAATTTAAAACAGACTAAAAGGCCCATACCAGCATGGAAAAATTCTAATAAAGTGTTTAGTAATAAAATAATAGTCCCATAACTTAGAATTGAAAATGAAATTACTAATACTACTAGCAATTATAGGTTTAAAAACCAATGATTAAAATACTAAAATACTAAAGACCCTAATAGATAGATTAGCAAAAGTATGGACTTTAATCTTCACTAGTAATTTTCAAAAATGAAAATTAAAATGAGGAGAGAGCCCTTATTTGACCCATCAAATTATCAAAGATATCTAAACTAGAGTAGTCATTATTGCTCGATAAGGCAAGCTCCCACTCACTACAGATAGGGCTGCCAGTGAATATAGACTTCTTGGAAGGCAATTTACTAGAATATTAGTAAGAGCGTTAAAGTGTTAATACTCTGGTATGGCTTAGTCATTCTTGGAATTGAATCCAAGATAACATTGATATTGGACAAAGACATAAATAAGCACAGATAATTACTGTATTATTTGCAGAAGCAAACATTTTGAGCCACCTCAACTATCTAGCAATATTAGCATTATTAACTAAAGTACTGATATACAATTGGATTCACACAGTGATGTCTTATTGTATCTAAAAGAAAATATTCTTCTCCCAGGGAGGATTTTTTTATCATAAAAAAAGACACATGCTTTTTATATCAGTGTTCACTGAAAACACCAAGATGGATACTATCATTTTTCATATCAAAAAGCATATGTCAAAAGGAAGAGACAACTGTGCTAAAATGTGAATCATGGAGCTGCTTACGGGAAATAGTATTAAGAGTGGAGTTCTGTGTGTGTTCTGATTCATAATTTTGGTACTTTCCAGATATTTTTTTACAGTGAGCTCTTACAACCTGAAGCCAAAAGATTTTAAATAGCTTTTAACAAGAAATCTATCGACACGAAAAGGGTTTAGGCTTCTTCAGACTTACACAGTTAAGTATACTTGCAATAAGTACCCTTGGATTTTCTTTTTTCTGTTTACTTTGTTTGTCTTTCTTTGAAACAATGGCAGTAATGACAACAAAAAATATGTAAAATATATTTTTCTTTAATAGCATTATTATGTTGTATTGAAAGAGTAGCATTCAGATTTCAAATGGAAATATTTCTCCTTTGTAGATGTCGTCAACTGCTGAAAATGGAGACACAGTACCTGGCAAACAAAACGAAGAAAAAACCTACAAAAAAGTGAGTGTTTTACTGTCTTCAGAAAGTAAGAGCAGTCTTCTACTGTTTGCCAGGTTGATGTTGGTAGGCCTTTCTTCCTCCATTGTCTGCCATCTTACTTTCTCTTGCTGTTCCACTGAATTAGCAAAACCTTGGTGGCTTAAATGATATAGTTCTAAATGTCAGATGTCTGACGGGGTGTGACTGGTGTCCATTGAGCCGAATTCCTTACAGAATTGGTGGGGGACAATTTGAGTCCTTGTTCTATCCAGTTACTAGATGTTGCCCATGTACCCAGTATCTCAAGGTCAAGAGGAGTCTTTATTGGGCTGTGTCCTTCTAATACTATGAAGGACCAGTGAATTGCACCATGCCCTCTCAGATAATGCAAAATAATTTCTTTATTTCAAACTTAGTTGATCAACAATCTTAATGTTCATTAGCCTAAACTCTTCATTGGCACATAGCAAGGCATATTTATAGGGTCCAAGGATTAGGGCGTGCCTATCTTTGAGGGACATCTTTCTGCACACCCCAGTTGCCATGTGAACATATCTGGGGAGACAGTTATTTTTCTGCCTCTCTTATTATTCATAGGAAGAAGACTCTCAGTAGCATGTGATATTCTATGTCTAGCATATGAGTCCTCTGACTCACTGCCAAATACTAAGTACAGTCTGTCTTTAAATTAGGGGGGTGGGGGAAAGGTGTAAGTGTGAATTGCTGGCACTCCCTGAAGTTTTTAAATCTTCTACGATCTCGTGTCTATTTCCCACAGACCTTTTTTTCTAGGCTTCCAAGTATATCTTACCAGTCTTTGAATTTGATAAAATTCTTGACTCTTATCAATAATTAGCACCATTGTACCCAACTGTAGGTTAACCTTACACGTTACAGCTTTTAAAAGTACCTGCCCTCCTGTTCCCTGGGATTGGGAGGTTTGTGCAGTGGAGACTTACTATATCTCTTTTTTTGTTGTTGTTGTTTCTCTTTGATATTCTTTGATGGACAACTGGTGTGTGTTGTGATGTGAACATTTCTCAAGATGTCTGCTTTGACTGTGTTTTTAGGTCATGTGTCTGTGTGAAACATTGGTTTCCTAAGTACTCTTTTACTGTAAATCTTTTGAACTCTTCTTTTCTACTCAGAGAAGCCTAGACATATGAACATGGACATTGCCATCTAAAGTGATGGTGTGGTGAGGGAAAAGATGCTTCAGGGTGAAGACTAAAGAATTCCAGATGTCAGGTCTTAGAAACCTTCTGTATCCAGCCAATGATACTCATACCAGTTCTCAACTTTAGACATGGCTGGAACATCAGTTGTTTCTTCTTTCCCTAGTAAGCATGGTAACAGTTTAGAGTCACTTAAGTCACCAGACTGTCATTACTTTAGGTCAGCATCAGGCAGTATCCTCAGTCAGCATCAAAGTACACCAAGGATCTGGACTGAAATCCTTTGTCATACAAACATAATAAAAAGAACATGATCACAAGTGTGCCCTGGTCAAAATACAGCAATGCTGGGAAGATTCTACAATTAATGGATATTTTGAGTCAGCAATATTGAGAAAGTCCTAAAATTGTAAAGCTCAAGTGCTATAATAATTCCTATAGATAGAAAGAGACAAAAGAAGATTAAGAAGACCTGTGTGTACACTCACATGCACTTGCAGATACACCAAGAACCTTTTAAGAAACACAATAGTATAGGAATCTTTTGATGATCTAATTAGTAAAAGGAATCTTCTTAAAAGGAATTACTCTAGCTGTGAGGATGTTCAGAGTTAATGAATGTTGACTTGAAGGGGGGAGGGGAAACTAGTTTGGTTTTTTTCCAACAATATGGAGAAGTGTGGATTAAATACTGCACAGATTGTTGGTACCTGGTTGGGTAAGTAGTCCCAAAGAATGACAAATTTGCTTCACTCCCTTCTTCTCCATCAGGACAGTGCGTGAGTTGCCCCTGTAGCTTCATATTATACCCATGATCATCATGAAAACATAAAAGTAATATTTTGTAAGCATACAGAAATATTGGAAATGGTGCTCACCCCCAGCATCATGCTACCTTGCATTTCAATACATGTGTCTTCAAGTTTCTTTCCTTGTTCTGAAGCTCTGATGATGCAGTATGAATCTGTTTAGTAAAGAGCCTTGGTGAGCCATTGTTTCTCAGGGCTGAAAATAACCCAGGTTAAGGACATCTCCCTCCCCCATGAGCTGCCAGGAACAAGAAAGACCCCAGAGGAGTCTATGACTGGGAGAAGGAAGATGTGAAAAACACCTGTAGGGCTCAGTAGCCTCTAATGAGGAGCCGCTGTGGACTATTCTTAACCAGTGGTCTTGTGCTTTCAGTACGGGGCACCAGATTTGACTGGCAGCAGCCAGCAACATGCAGCTTCATCAGTGTAAAGATTTCCACGTGTTTTAGGGAACAGTCAGTGTTGGTGAACTCCATGCTCTACCACTGCCTTGATCATTTGCACGTGATTGTTGAGTCAGCTGCTTTTGGTTCTTCCAATTGCTCATTTCTCTAATCTATTATCAATTCTTGGCAAGCCCAGGAGGAACTAAGCATAAACCCATAAGGTTAATGCCTTCAACTAAGGGCTAAAACAAATCGGGTTTTAGCTGTGTAAAACAAACATGTTGCCCATTAAGGCAGGCATTAATGGCCGCCTCTCTGTGTTTACAGAGTCTAGGATTTCCACTCTCGGTTAATTTGCTGAATGTCTTCCGCTGGAGTTGTAAACACAAAAGCCTACAGCAGCCAGGCAGGAAACAGGTTTTGCTATAACTATGGGAACTATCGTAAGGATGAATGCCTTCCTTTGGGAGTGGGTGGCAGTCAGCTGCTGCTGCCCGAGCTGTGCATGAATGTACACCCCAGCCTGTCATATACTCCGGTTTTTGATTTTTTTTTTTATTTTTTTTAGGATCTTGATGTAAAGTCTCCCAAGTTTTTAATCGTCAACTAATTCAGACGTTTGTTTGTAAGTTCACTCCGGGCAAAACAACATGCCAGTGTAGTGGAACCTTTCTCACCTACAGACAGCAGCCTGTTTGCAAACTCTGACACATTCTTACTCTAAGAAAATGAAAGAGGGAAGAAAAGCATGCAAAAGAAATGTTTTCAAGAATTTGTCACTGCTTCCCAATATGGTTCAGTTTATTTGGGAGAAAAATATAGTCCCATATTTAAAAAAAAATTAGATAATGACCCAAACCAGTATTAAGTGTCAAGACAAGCATCGGGCATTTTGTTTGTCACAAGTCCCCAGGAGCTGGAAGATCATTGCTGTCTCCCAAGTTCTCCGAAGCTTCTACGCTCGGAGAGCATTTTACTGGGGTAAAAATTTCTTAATGTCACCAGCATGGTGATTCATGCCTTTAGTTAGTCCCAGCACTCTAGAGGCAAAGTCAGGCAGATCTGTGTTTGAAGCCAGCCTGGTCTACAAAGCAAGTTCCAGGACAGCCAAGGCTACACAGAGAAACTGTCTCAAAAAACAAAAAAAACAAAACAAAACAAAACAAAAAACCCTAATGTCTCTTCTCCTTCTGTCACTCCTTTAGTGTCTGTGCCTTCTAATTTTCTTACTTGTCTATATGATGGGGCATTTGATGAGCATGACACACACTTGGATGAGGGTGGCTTGCTAGAAGGATGTGTGTGTGTGTGTGTGTATGTGTTTGTGTGCACATGCATGCCTGTGTGTGTGTGTGTGTGTGCACATGCACACACGTGCATATGTGTGAGCACACACACCCACAACATAGACATCCCATTTAGGGTTGAGCAATGAGCCATCATTTATTCTCAGTGCTTTAGCAAGTCATGAGTCTCTGCATTATTACTGCCCACTGTAAAAAGAAGCTTCTCGTTGTGACGCACGCCTTTAATCCCAGCACTCGGGAGGCAGAGGCAGGTGGATCTCTGTGAGTTGGAGGCCAGCCTGGTCTACAGAGTGAGTGCTAGGAAAGGCTCCAAAGCTACACAGAGAAACCCTGTCTCGAAAAACCAAAAAAAAAAAAAAAAAAAAAACAAAAAAACAAAAAATGGT